TGATAGGCAGATGTCAGCGGCCTGCTCGAGCGATCAAAGATACGCGACGGCCTTCTATCGACTGGGATTCCCGGTGTTCGCGGTCGACTGCTCGCGACGGCGGACGAGCGGCGGTAGGGAGGCTCGCTTCGTGGTTGACAGAGATGCTGGGGTGCTCGATAGCGATTCTCGCGAGTCCTCATTGATGACCGAGATTGGTACGCCGACAGGAAAGAGCTGCGATTTGATGATGATGGGGTGATCAATCGCGATCTGCTCGATTCGGCAGAGGAGAGATTTGCCGAGACATGAAATGTAGAAAGGAGTGGCTGCGCCTGATAAGTGGGGAGAAATTGAGAGGGATAGGGTGACCTACAGGTAATTGGAAATTTCATGGGCCAAAATTTTCTTTAAGCTAATTGGGCCAGAAAGTTGACTAAATAAACGAAGTTTGGACTTGGGCCGATGGAAATAAAAGAACTAGTTTGGACTAGTATACTTAAACAAAAATAACTTACACTTACACATAAATAAGCATACTAAAAACACTTATACATAAAATAACACATAGGCACATATACAAACTTCATATAAATTTAAAACACTTAAAACAATTTAGTAAAACAAGAGCATACCAGTTAATTTAAGAAGACGAGGACATCTTCTTAAATATAAATTTTTGGATTGGTAAATTTATTCAACAAATTAAACAGACAAGTACATCTATTTAATTCGAATTTTGACTTAATCAAGATTACACCAGTCGAGCGATTTTAAAAAAAATAAAAATAAAAATTAAATAATGACTCGCATAAATCGAAAGGGCACTACAATAATATAGCAACCGAAATATACAATAAACAAACGGGTTAAATCTGAACTACGCGATTAAACTGAAATCGTCGAACGACGAATGTTTTAAAAAAAATAATAAAATGACTGAGTACTTAAACCCATAATTTTAGTATCTCACGACCAATACAATAATATATAACCTCATAAATAACATTCGATAAATAGAAATTCTGTAAATCGAACGGGGCGTTACAGTAATTATCGACCATTTTTGGCAACTCGTCAAGAGATCTGTGTGCCTTAGTAATCAGTCAGAATATTATCACGTGTTCAATAATTTTGAACTTTCTCAATGTTCAGATGCCGCCACGTAGGGAACCCGATCATCCGGCTCCTACTCAGGCCACAATAGTCGCCCAGTTCCGCGACTATCATGCCGAGAAATTCTCAGGGTAGGGAGATCCTCGCATCATAGACGAATGGATTCAGGGCCTGGAGTTTAACTTTGAGGTCATGGATTGCCCTGATAGATATCGCGTAATTTGCGCTCAGCTTCAGCTCACCGGTGATGCCAGGCTCTGGTGGAACGCTTATTGGAGCATGCGTCCCGGCGAGAAGGCGGGATGTACGTGGGAGATGCTCAAGGAGTTAATCCGCGAAAAGTACTACCCCACATACTACCGAGCAGAGATGGAGCGTAAGTTTCTATCGCTCCAGCAGGGTACTCGTACTGTTGACGAGTATGAGAGGGGGTTCACTAGACTTGCAGCTTTCGTTCCTGATTTGGTTCGCACGGAGGCCCAAAGAGCGCAGCGTTTCATTGACGGGCTTTACCCAGCAGTCCATCATAACATCGTAGGCCACGGGACACAGACGTATGCTCGCGCAGTTTCGATTGCTCAGGAGGTGGATGCCAGCATCAGGAGGGAGGCCGTCCGTGATCATCCTCAGCCATCCGTTCCTGCTCAGTCATCTTTAGTTCCACCGATGCCAGCTCTACCAGCTGCCCAGCCACCGAAGAACAACAAGAGGAAGGGGAAAGGTGCCCCGACAGATAAGAGGACCCGACGGAGGCTACAGCAGATCCCACAGTGTCCGACAAGTAGACGACTTCACCGAGGCGAGTGTCGCTTTGGTCAGGATGTATGCTACTACTGTCACGAGCCCGTACACTTCGCGAACCGTTGTCCGAAGAAGGCGCAGCAGCCTCAGCAGCCTCAGCAGCCACCGCAGCAGCAGTAGCCCCGTCAGCAGGCACAGAGGCCGCCTCAGCAGCAGCAGCAGAGGGGCAGACAGCAGGCCCGAGTTTACGCAGTCGATCAGGCAGAGGCCGAGCAGCAGCCAGGTACTATGTCAGGGATGGTTGTTCTTAATAATGTTCCTGTGTTTGCTTTGTTCGATACTGGAGCGATACATTCTTTCATTTCACGACGATGTCTTGATGCCATCGGAGTTCATGCCATTACGGCTGTCGATCCTCTCGAGGTGAGCTTAGCCTCGGGACGAAAGATAGTGACCTCAGCCAAAGCTTCAGACCTTAGCCTTTCCATCGGTGGCCGAGTATTGTCTACCGACGCGTTTGTTCTCAAGATGAGGGACTTCGACCTTATTCTCGGAATGGATTGGCTGTCCTTTTATAATGCGGATATCAGATGTCATGACCGGGAGATTACTCTTTATCTTCCGGGAGACGAGTCGATTACTTTCTTTGGCTCTAGGAATCGTTCATTGTCTCATGTTGTTTCGATGGCGAAAGCCACTAAGTTGCTGCGACGAGGCAACTGCCAGGGTTATCTGGTGAGCCTTGTCGATGATACTCAGAAAGCACGATCACCTCACGATGTTCCATTCGTTCGTGAGTTTGTGGACGTGTTCCCAGACGAGCTTCCAGGAGGACCGCCTAACCGGCAGGTGGAGTTCTCTATTGATCTTATTCCAGGAGCCGGTCCCGTATCCAAAGCCCCATACCGTATGGCGCCAAAGGAGTTGTAGGAGCTTAAGACTCAGATTCAGGAGCTGTTACGACTCGGTTTCATCCGACCGAGCGTGTCACCTTGGGGAGCACCCGTTCTTTTTGTTAAGAAGAAGGACGGATCCATGCGCATGTGTATCGACTACTGGGATCTTAATCGGTTGACGATCAAGAACAAGTATCCGCTTCCCAGGATCGACGACTTATTTGATCAGTTGAGGGGAGCCTGTGTGTTTTCAAAGATTGATTTACGATCAGGCTACCACCAGCTGAAGATTAAGGAGTCAGATATCGCTAAGACCGCTTTCAGGACTCGTTATGGCCATTACGAGTTCGTCATCATGCCATTCGGTCTCAGCAATGCGCCAGCAGTTTTCATGGACCTCATGAACCGTATCTTCCATCCCTACCTCGATCAGTTTGTTATTGTCTTTATTGACGATATTCTTATCTGCTCGAAGAGCCAGAAGGAGCACGAGGAGCATCTGAGGGTGGTTCTCGAAACCCTCAGACGAGAAAAGCTGTTTGCAAAATTCTCCAAATGCGAGTTCTGGCTCCAGCGAGTATCTTTTCTGGGTCATATGATTACTCAGGCAGGTATCGAGGTGGATCCTTCCAAGGTCTCAGCTGTTCAGAACTGGTCGACACCGAGGAGTCCGTCCGAGGTTCGCAGTTTTCTCGGTTTAGCTAGTTATTACCGCAGGTTTATAGAGGGCTTTTCCAAGATTTCCCTCCCATTATCCCAGCTGACGAGGAAGTCTGTGAGGTTCGAGTGGACTGACCGTTATGAGTCGAGCTTTCAGGAGCTCAAGAAGAGATTAACTTCAGCACCGGTGTTGACTATTCTTGATCCTTCTCGGAGTTTCACCATCTTCAGCGATGCTTCGAGACAGGGCTTGGGATGCGTCCTTATGCAGGATGGCCAGGTCGTCGCGTATGCTTCACGTCAGCTTAAGCCGCATGAGCAGAACTATCCGACGCACGACTTGGAGCTAGCCGCAGTCGTTCATGCTCTCAAGATTTGGCGACATTATCTTTACGGCGGTCATTGTGAGATTTTCACAGATCATAAGAGCCTGCAGTACATCTTCACGCAGAAGGAGCTTAACATGAGACAGCGCCGTTGGCTAGAGCTCGTGAAGGATTATGACTACTCTATTCAGTATCTTCCGGGGAAGGCGAACGTCGCTGCTGACGCCTTTAGCTGAAAGGTGAGGGGTGACTTGACGTATATCATTACTCAGCAGAGTCCATTGATTCAAGAGTTTGCCCGTATGCAGCTTCAAGCGATTGATGCACTTCCCACAGCCGTTTTGGGGAGTGTCAGTGCCAGTGTCAGTGCCATGCAGCTTCAGCCGACGATGAGAGAGAGAATCCGGCGGGAGCAGGCTTCTTACGAGTTTATTCGTGTCATGGAGGCCAAGGTTCACGCCGGAGGTGTCGAGGGTTTTCAACTAGGTGCTGATGGTGCCCTAGAGTTCAGAGGCAGGATCGTGGTCCCGAAAGTCGAGGCGTTGCGGAAGGAGATTTTATCAGAGGCTCACACCGCACCCTATTTCGCCCATCCCAGGAGCACGAAGATGTATCACAACCTGAAAGGGTCGTTCTGGTGGCGAGACATGAAGAAGGACGTCGCCGAGTTTGTCAGAAGATGTTTTACCTGTCAGCAAGTCAAAGCCGAACATCAGAGTCCGATCGACCTCCTGCAGCCACTACCGATTCCGAGGTGGAAGTGGGAGGAAGTCACGATGGATTTTGTTACGGGATTACCGAGGTCGTCTGAACATCACGACGCTATCTGGGTCGTGGTCGACAGATTGACTAAGGTCGCACATTTCTTACCCGTTTCGATGAAGATATCTCTGGACAAGTTGGCTGAGATATATACCCGTGGGATCATCCGACTCCACGGAGTGCCCGTTACTATCGTATCAGAAAGAGATCCCAGATTCGTCAGCCGATTCTGGCACAGCTTACATGAGCGATGGGCACGAAGCTAGAGTCTTGTTCAGCCTACCATCCGGAGACAGACGGTCAGTCAGAGCGGACTATTCAGACGCTTGAGGATATGCTTTGCGCTTTAGTTGTTGACAGGGGTGCTAAGTGGGAGTCACTGTTGCCGTACGCCGAGTTCGCGTATAACAACAGCTATCATTCTTCTATTCAGATGGCTCCTTATGAAGCACTTTACGGTCGCAAGTGTCGTTCCCCTCTTTATTGGGACGACATCGGAGAGCGACGAGTACTCGGTCCCAAGTTGATTGAGGAGACAGCAGAGCAGGTCGAGTTGATCCGGCAAGGACTCAAGACAGCTCAGAGTCGACAGAAGTCTTCCGCCGATCATCATCGACGAGATATTCAGTTCGAGGTTGGTGAGCCAGCTTTTCTCAGAGTTCGTCCGATTCGCGGAGTCGTTCGATTCGGAAAGAGAGAGAAGCTGCACCCTCGATTCATCGGTCCGTTCGAGGTTCTCGAGTGAGTAGGCGAGGTCGCGTATCGATTAGCCCTACCTCCCGAGTTATCAGGCATTCATAATGTATTTCACGCATCGATGTTGCGTAAGTACGTGTGCGACCCCGATCATGTCATTCCTCATTCAGATATTAGGGTTCAGCCAGATCTTTCGTACGAGGAGCGACCGGTAGCTGTACTAGACCGTCAGGTTCGTCGGCTCCGGAAGCGAGATGTTCCCCTCGTGCGTATTCAGTGGGATCGCCACGGAGCTACTTGGGAGGCAGAGTCCGATATTCGCGCTCGTTTTCCAGATTTTCAGTTTTGATGTATATATTTCTTATTCTACGTACATAGTTCATGTATTTTCAGCCATGTTTTGAATTTCCGAGGACGGAAATTTTGTAAGGAGGGAGGATTGTAATATCCCGTCAGCTTATCAGTATAAATCATGTTTTAGTTCCGATATATTAATATCGTCGAGTATTAATTTTCGGAATTAATTATTTTCAGTCATTTCAGTCGAGATTACCGAAAATTATTTTCGATGTACCGTTTACGTTCGGAATAATTTTGGTAATTAAGCATTATGTTTAATTTAATAATTAAACATGATTAAGTGGTTAATTAATAATTAATCACAAGATTAGTATAAAACTGTACGGACCTTTTCCAATCATTTTTCCAAATAATCCGTACGTATAAGTGATATATGTTAGTGGTTTTGTTCAAATTTTCTTCATTAGTAGGAAGTTAAACGTGGCAATACCTATGTTAATAGAATGCTTAGTCATCTAAGTATTACTTAAGCTTTCTACAAGTGTCATTAGCCTAAATTGAACACATCTTCACCTCATCACGTTATCCCTTTCGGTGCCATATATATAGGAGAGTTTGGGTGGAAAATTTTCCACTTCATCCACCATATATGTTCCCCTCATCCTTCAGCATAAGTGAGAGTAGAGAGATTGAGAGTTTCGATCAGCTTAGCATCGTAAGTTCAGACGCACGCAAGCACCGAGCAACCGCACGCGTAGCAGCAGTCCGCACGGCAGCCCTGATGAAGATCGTGTGTTTCGACTGTCGATAAGCCACAAACCAGTGCCTTGAATCGCCGATAGTGCCTAGAGGTTCACAAATCGCACCCCTCTAAACGATATAATTGCTATAGAATTTTGGTGAAAAACTAAAGCAAAGAGGATGAACAAAAGTTCTTGAGTTCTTATTAATTCTTGGATGCTCCTAATAACATGAGGGAAGGGGCCTATATATAGGCAC